TGGGCTTTGCTGGAACCTTGCACCCAGGAAGAGCCGAGCCCAGTGGGTCAGGGCCCTTGTCTTTCCTCCTGACCCCCCCTCCACTTCTTCCTTCCTTCCTCCCCTCCCCTCCCTCTTCTCCCCCCCCCACAAGCAGGGAGCGAAGGCGGTGATGGGGGACATGTGTCTTAAAACATAACTCTGTGTGTGCATGTGTGTGTCTCTGTGTGTGAATGTATTGTCTTCTCCCCCCCCCACATCCCCCATGGGAAACCACCACGACGCTCCCTGCCCTCCGTGGGGGGGGGGAGTCCACATTGTCGCAGCAGCAGTGTTTGGGTTCTGCTTTTGGGGAAGAATGGGGTGCTTCTGAGTACTGTTGTCGAAAACGACAGGAAAATCTTTGGGTCTAGAGCACCCCTTCCCAACCTTTGGGCCCCTGGATGGTTCTGGACAACAACTCCCAGAAATCCCAGCCAGCAAAGCAAGAGATGAAGGTTTCTGGGAACTGCAGTCCAAGGACGCCTGGGTCACTGGAAAGCACTGGTCTAGGCGCTTGAAAATTGTGTGTGTGTGTGTGTGTGTGTGTGTTGGTTTTACAGAGATTTTTGGTGTGTGTCTGTGCGTGCGGGCATGTGCCTGGGGGCCCGCATGGAACGAAGAAGAAAAATCCCATTTCTTGCACTTCATTTTGTATCTCTGGGAGGAGGAGAAGGAGGCCTTGGAACATCACCGAGGAGAGAAATGGGGAACTTGTGCTTTTGCTGACTTTATATGTAGTGTGGGTCTTAACAAGCCCGTCCTGCAACTTTTATTTTGTATGGGAATTTGATTTTTAAAACCGGGGGGGGGGGGAAGGGGGAATATGTCTGCCTTATTTTTCTTCTGATTCCTCCTCTCTTTCCCCTACCCAAAATTTCCTTTTTTATGCTTTTAATGAGTCCTTTTCTGGTCTTGCCACTTAAAAAAAGAAGAAGAAGAAAAAAAAACAAGCTCTCCCAGGGCTATGGGATAGTTCTCATCTATGCATTTGTTTTGTGCATACGACAATTCAGTAGCACCACCGGAGCAAAAAAAACCGAGTGGGGCGCTAGGGTTTTAACAAGGGAAAATGGTTTGCCTCTCTCTCTTCCCCCCCCCCGGCTCCCCTTCCGTTTGCAGCCCTGAAACCTGGGGGCTCAGCTGGAGAGGCGACCGGCCTTCTGTCAAGCATCCTAAAGCCGAAGGCTCTCCAGGGAGTTAAAAAATAAACTCCTGCAGGGCTTTTTCAAGGCGGCCCCCTGATTTCTTCTCCGCTGTGGTGTCTTTTCCGTTGCCTGTGCCAGGCTTGATCCCCCCCCACCCCCAAAATCTGGTGCCCCTTTCTCCTTGTCTGCCTGGGCCCCCAGATCTCTGAGCCCGATTAATTTGCCGCCTGGTGGAGTGGAGTGGGGGGGGCATCTCTTCTTCATGGGTGCGTTCTTGTTTTGAGCCACCAACCCCATGACTTCTGTTGGTCGAGACCCTCTCTTCTCAAAGTTATTTTGCAGTCCCTTCTTGTGCCCTTTGGAAACATAAATTATTTCTCCCCTGTGTTTCTGTGCGTGCATGTGTGTGTGTGTAAATTTCTCAAGGGGCAGGAGTTTAGCGGATCAGTGACTGATGGAGCACATGGGAATACTGCTCAAGTTTAGAACTGGGATGAGCATTAAAAAAAACTTTGGCCTTTGGAGGTGATCTGGGGCTGTTGACCCCACAGCCCCTCCCCATCATTGGCCGTGCTTGTCAGGGCACTAAATAAATTGTTTGGCAGGTTGTGTCACGTTTTGGTCGGGTGCCCCTTGGCCGGCTTGTCCTATTTATTATTGTTTGCCTTTTCTCTTAGGAGCTAGTTATCTTGGGGCCTCTGACACCCCTTCGGATGTGAATCTGTCATCCCTCCACACAAATGAGTGTGAGGAGGGCTTTCCCCCCACCTATAAAATACAGATTTGGAGATTCTGTATCCCCCGCGTTGTTTCAGGAGTGGGAACTAATCCCCACCTTTTTGCTACGGGAGAGCAAACAAGAAGCTGAGGCTCAAAAGATTTACTACCCAGAGATTTTCTCCATGGATGCTTGTGACCCTAGTCTAAGAGGCAGTTTCCTTGAATTCCTGAGATTTTTAGTATGGCTCTAAGACAAAGCCAGTTTTTTGCCTGGGGCATTGCACCTTTTCCCCCCAGCTACAGCCTGCCCGTTTAAGGTAATTCGGTCTTTCTCTTGCATTATGGTGGGTCATCTGCCCATCCCTCAAGTTTGTGTCCGGGGGGGGTGGCGGGAGCTAGTTGGGCTTTTAATAGAACTTTGCCCAAGAGGCTAAAGTAGGCCCAAGAAATTAAGCTTAGCTGGCCTTGTTTCATGGATTCTGGATTGTCGCTTTTTTCCCCTCCCTCTTTCTCAGTTGGGTTTCGGCCAAAGAGCTGCTGGGCCATCTCCTAATTTGTTTAGACTCCCCAAAGCTGGTGAAACTCTGTGGCGGACATTTGCAGCTTTTTGGGGGTGGAAGTCCATCTATGTTTTGGCTCCAAAGGGGGAGAGGAGCGTCAGGACCGAGAAAATGCACAGCACTTTAGAATTCCCGACTCATTCAAGGGTGTTGAGCCTTCTCCTGCTCGCGAATGGGCCTCCCCATCCCGGTCGAGGGTTGTCCCTTTATGCATTTTTAAATTGTAGCCCTAGTTGGTTTCTAGTTTGCTCGCCTGTCTTGGCTGCTTTGGTTTTTTCGAGAGGGGTGGCCTCTGTCCTCCTCCATGTATGCCTGTAGATCACTGCGTGGAGCCTTCCCGGGTCGTTCTAGGAGACACTGTCTCCGTTATGGAGAGATGCCAGTTTGGAAATGATGGAAAAGCCACACCGTTTAGCTTGCCACAGAGGGCTGCCTCCAAGTTGAAATGCGGAGTATAACGTCCGGGCATGTTTGTGTTAATTTATTTGGTCAGGGATTCTCCCTTTCAACTTTTCTGAAGTTGTCAGCAGGACTCTTGTATTGAAAATGAAGTCTGGAGGGATTCTGGTGCCAGCACCCCCCCTTCGACACCCCTGAACTCATGGAATTAAATAAATAAGGGATTCACAACCGTACAACTTTGGGATTCTGTGGCTTCCCAGTGTGTGTGTGTGTGTGTGTGAGCAAGCATCTGTGCTCCTGCCACTTTGTGTCTGTGCGCGTGTGCCCTTTGTGTGCTTTTATTTTTCTAGAAGCCTTTTTGCGCCCTGGGGTGTCTCCAAAGTTACCTTGAGTGAGTGGGGAAACGCTCAGCTCTTAAAACAGACCGAGGGGGTGGTCTGTTGGTGTTGCATTCCTTGAAGTGACCTTAAGTCAAATCCAGTGTTCATTTACTTGAAGAGATCAACCCTATGAGCTCAAGGGGGCTCCCTCCCTAGCAAATGTCTTTGCCTGTGGTTAGGCTCTGAAGCTTCTGTGTATTACTTCGGAGAAGTGCGTGCCTGTGTGTCTGGGTAAGAGAGAAGATAAAATCTTGGATCCTTCTCTGTGCTGAGGTTTGCTCACCACCCACCCTCTCCCTGATCAGAGTCTTTTTTTGGAGTTTTTTGTTGTTGTTATTATTATTATTATTTGTAATGTCATAAGGTCAGCTTCCTTAAGAAAAGAAAGGCTTGGAGGCTGATTTTGTCACAAGGTGCTCGCTCTGATGTTTCCTTTCCTTCTCCTCCTCCTCCATCACAACTGGATTCTTGCATCCTAAATTCAGCCCTGGAGATGGTTTTCCAGGTCCACCTGGGACGTACTGTACCGGGAGGAGGTGAGCGACGGACATTCTGTGTGTCCCATCTTACAGATCTAAAATGCGCCCCTGGACGTGCAAACACTCATTGCTCCCCTTTGAGCGTCCGTATGCTCCTGAAGGCTTGAATTCTAGAAAGCCCTAGGTCTTAGAACTCTGGTTTGGCATCTTCCTTTTCTGCTAGCGTTTCCTGGGCTGTCGAATTTTCTGCCTCTTTGCCTCAGACAGCCTAGTCCAAAGCTTGAAGGAGAGATCCAAGTTGATTGGGGGGGGGGAGAGACATGGTGGGAGCTGGGCATCTGCTCTGTTTCCCTCCTGGGATCTCTTCCAAAAGCTGTCTTAATGCCCGCGAGGCTTGTGGATGGGTGGATAAAACGATCTCGGGTGGCTCCCCTGTCATATTCTATCCTAACCAAGATATGTGTTTCAGTTCCAGGGTGTCCCCTCTTTGCTCCCTTCCGTACATACGGAGGGAGGGGGAGTCTTTTTCTTCTCCCATGTCGAATGTGGCTCCTTGTGCTTGGGAAATCTAGGGACACTCAACCTGATCCTTTAAGAGAGAAGGCCAGGTGGGGGACTTCTCTACTCCTTTCTCTGGTTTAAACCTTCCTCTGTGAGCCTGAAACCTCACTCAAGCTTGCCAGCGTGCCCCACGTAGGTTCGCTTTGCTGGTTTGGCTTTGATTCTCTGACTTCGTTTCTTGTGCTGCCATCCTGCCTTCTCCCTCCCACCCCTGGCAATCAGCCCCTGGGTGGCACATGGTTCCCCTGTTCCACCAGGGCGTGTTCAGACAGACAGACACACTGCTGGGGGTCGTTTCAGAGGGCCTTGGATGGCTAGAGGGGGGGCCTGGAGCCCAGGGGTTGCTCTGTCCCACACTTAACGGTCTAAAACTTAACTCTAAACCTCTCGATCCAGAGTGAGATGGTTTGGCTTCACACTCAAAACAGGGGAGCCGAAGAATCCTTCATGGCTGGATGAGCAGTTTGGCCATTTTGCTTTTCAGTCTGCAGGATTCTCCACCTGACATCTTGCAGGAGATATGAATAGGCTCAAATGGGTGGTTGTTTTCTGGTCCTGGAGAAATTGTCTGTGTGTGTGTGCATGCGTGCGCGCATGGGAGTGTGTATGTAGAGGGAGAGTCCGATGAAAGCATCGGAGACCGTCCAACCGTTCAGCTCTGTCAAAGTGTTTGGGCTGAGTTGGGGGTTATTTTTGTCAACTACGGAAGCCAAATCTCACCTTTGTAGTTAATTACTTTCATGTTGAATTCTGTACCACCACAGTTCTTAAATATTTTAAGTTCCCCATCCCATCCAAAATCTATTTTATATTTTAATGAAGAAGATGATGATGAAAAAGAAAATAAAAAAAACTAAAAATGGAGAGATGTGTGTAGAACAAAATAAATTAAAGATGCTACATGATGTAAATTGTTAAATAAACATTTAAGTTTCCATGTGTCTGCCTGGTGGTGTGTGTGTGTGTGTGTGTGTTATATATATGTATATATACCTAATAGTGTCGCTTTTTCCTGATGATTTCTGGTGGGCTTAGGCTAGTAAATAAATGATAAGTGTGGAATATAGAATTCTTACGCACCTTGTCATGAAAGCACCCCCTGTGCTGCCTAATTTGAGGGCCCAAATTGGTCTTCCTGACCTCTTCCTGAATAGCTGCTTGGCTGCCTTCCATCCATGCTTCCTCCTGCTCTGTTCTTGCTCCTGAAAAGATCAGGCTCCCCACCCAAGGGTGTCCTTAGTTCTGTGCAGCTGGAATAATTGCTCATTTTTGCCAGTCAGGCATAGATCTCGGTAGCTTTGTGTGTGTGTTTTCCTGTGGGAATAAAACAATGCAGTCTGAAGGGAATGATGGCAGAGTTGGCCTTTTAAAGCAGTTAGCCTTTCCACTTTTTTCTTTTTGACCCTTTCAAGTTTCTATCCCTCAACAGCCAGTGTGTTTTGCAGCCGCAGTGGGGAGCTCAGTTCTGGGGGCTCAGAGGCACATTTTGGTATCCCTTGGCGGGAGCATATGAAGAACAAAAACCCACCGTACTGTATGGTGCTTGGTTTGCTTTCCCTGCCCAGAAAGTTGAAGCAGTACCTCTGCAGGCAAATTTGGGATCAGAGGTTTTAAGAGGGGAAGCTTCCCTGTCCTCTTTGATGCCTGAAGCGGTTTGCATCTCTCTAGTGTTGCTGGGTGTTTTGCGAACGTGCTGGCCGTTAAAAAAAGCCCGTACAAATGGCTGCCTGAGACACATGTTTCCTTCCAAGATGTTTTATTCATTTCTGTGGCAGCCAGGAGGGGATCCTGGCGAGAAGAACTTTCAACCAGCCCAGGATCCCCGAGGACTTTCAGGGCCTGCGCATCACGGAGCAGGAAGAACGGAGAGGAAATCTTTCAGCTTCGGCCACCGGCAGCGGACTTTCCGTCCTCGAGCCGGCCTACTGCTGGACACGCCGGATGGACTGGACCTGGAAAGTCTGGGCGTGGGAGCCCCACTCTCGCCAGTGCTTGTAGTCTCCGCCGTGGTGGTCAGCCTCCAGGATGTACTGGTAGCCACGGTAGCCTGGATACTGGTAGCAAACCCACCTGCAACAGAGCAGCAGGGAGAGGAGAGACTGAGTCGGCAGGCTCTTAATTGACTCTCTAGTTAGTTAGATATCTATCTACCCTTGGCATTACCTGGTGTGAAAAGGGCCAGACACACACACACACCAGCAACCTCCCAATTTGTGTTTTCTTGGGGCGCAGAATGGGACATCTAGTCTGACCTCGCAGTAAGTGGTTTCCTTGTGTTCTACCAAGTGGACTGTGGGGGGCGCTTTAGGCTTTCATTTCCTCTGCTGGGAAGAGTGTTTTGGTTCAAGGAGGCAGCAGAGGCAGCCTAACGAAAGCCCTTGATCAGGGGCTGCTTGGACTGAGGTGCTTTTGTGCTACAAAGCCATCATACTTTTTATTTTATTTTTTATTTTTACATTTAAAATAGCTTTATGCCACCTTCCTCTTTAAAATCCCACAGCCAGCACCACCCGGACCAACTCCATTACTGAGTTTATATTACAGTACCTCTTTGCAGGAGGTGGGTGGGAGAGATACTAAAGCGTAACTAAGTCACATTTCAGCAATAATGTAACAGATTATCTTATTTAAGGAACATTTTCTATTTACTTTCTGGTTATTTTTCCAAAGGATGTTTTGAAAGCTGCCTGACACAGTTTCCACACACACACTCACACAAAAAAAACTTTCTGCCATTATTTTGTCTCTCCTGAGTTGTTTCTGTTGTTGCACAAACGGCAACAACAACAAAACAGCCCGGAAGGTACCAGCTGGCTCCTCGGGAGGCGCCGTTCTGTGTCCAAAAAGTTTGCCGGGAGACAGCTTTAAAAGAAGGGGATGTCTCTGGCCGGGACTTACGCTCCGCTGTGGACCTTCATGGAGCCCACCTCGTTGTTCCCCCAGCCCATGGCCTGCAGGGAAGGGTAGTCATCGTGAACCTCCCACTGCTGGCCCATGAAGTTCTCTTTCTCGAAAAGGGTGACCTTGGATTCCTTGTGGTTCTGCAGGTGGGGAGAAGGAGGCAAAAGGAGAGGGTCAGGACGAGGCTTCATGAGCTGGCTCAGCTGCGGAAGCAGCCAAGCGCTTAGACAGCCGGCAAAAACCCGGACCCCTTGCCCACGAGACTGAGGACAAGCTGGACACGATCGAGGGGGGGAGGACTGCCAAACCTGGCTGAGGGCACCCGGCTGGCTTAGGCTCTGACCCCCCACCCCACCCTATGTCTGACCCCCTGAGGCCTGCCCTCCTTTTCCAAATGGCACCCACCCACTTTAAATTTCCCCCAGAGTTGTCACGTTTAATTACACTTTCCCCTCAAGCTCTGGAGATGAACTATTTCCTAGGGGGGAAAAACACAACTAGGGATATATTTTTCTGCCTCCAAAGTATCCGTTGCAGAGCCCTTTTTAAACATGGTGTCTTAAGGAATTGCTCTAAGAAATTTGTCCGTTTCAAGAGGCAAGCTTTCAGAGTTCACAGAAATTTTTTTTTCTGGACGGGCTTATCCTAACAATGGCCGAAAAACAAACAAACAAACAACAACCAAACCAGGTACTTAAAGAAGAAACTAGAATTAAAATATGGGTTCCATTTAAAAATACTGTATCGGAATACTGTGAAAGAACCGAAATCCCATTGTGGTAGAAATGATAAGCCAGTTTATCTTTTTTTTCTGAAAAGGGCTTCTAGATGTTTACATTAATATGATTATTGTATTTCTCGATTACAGTACATTTTAAGGACGTTAAATGTTGGTATTATTGTTGAGAGAAAGCCCAAATAAACAAAACTATTGCCAAGATAACAACGTGCCTTGTCACGCCTTAAACACTAATAGATTTTCTTCAGCGTAAGCTTTTTGTGGACTAAAGCCCGCTTTTTAAAAAGATGTATGCGAAGAAGTTAAGCCCAATAAATCTAGTTCGTCTTTAATGTTCCAGAAGAAAGAAAGAAAAAACTGGAAACTCTCTTAATAGTTGAAGACGGGAAGAATTTGGTCACTAATAACTGGCAGTTTGCTGCGAAAACCCTGCGATCCTGAGGAGGTGACCTTCTGCGTCCCTCCGGTGGAAGGTGCTCAGCGGGACCAGAACTCGCTGCAGCCACCACGGAAAGACTCACCGCCGAGCAGATGGGACGGAAGGACATCAGGCGCTCAACGTGGTAAGCGTTGCTGCCGCTCCAAGCCTCCCACCGGGGGTATTCGCCACGCTCCAGAATGAACTGCTGGCCACAAAAATTGGTGTGCTCGTAGCCGAACCAGCTGTAAGAAAGAGGAGTCGCCTGGAGTCAGCCATGGAGGGGGGGAAGGGGGGGTCTTCTGGAGGGCCCGTGCCCTCATGAAGGTGAGGGTCAAGTTCACCCCCTGCCCAGGCCAAGCCTCAGTGGCCTTACTGGTCTGCCGGGCCGAGGGATGGAGGAGGCCGTGAGCTGCTGACGACATCCCCCCCCCCTCTCGAGGAGGTAGTAATCCTGTTCTCGTGATGGAATCTAGACATAACCTTGTGGCTCCTGGGCGAGTCCTGGAACAAAGTCCTCGGCCTGCCCTGTTTGGCCAAGAGATGCTGGCTGAATGTTTCTGGAACACCTCCCTGGTGCCACGGGGGGGGGGGACACACGTTTCAGCTGCCCTCTCGAGGCGTGGCCTCCTGCCTTTTTCACTCTTCCTGCAGTACCGATATTCTTCTCAGTTCCCTGAGAGACCCAGTTGTGACCTACCGGCTAGCTCAGCCTTGGAGACCTGAGAGGGGAGAGAAAGGAGGCCTTTCCCTCATTCTTCCTACTGGGAGTCAGGTTGGGTGAGAACGCGCCAGGGCCGGCCTTTCTCTGGGGGGGGGGAGTTGCCCCCAGCCTTCTGAGCTCCTTGCTCAGGGAAGCCAGGCTGGCTCCTTCTGCAATGGTTTCCTGAACACGGCAGGCTAAACCCTTTCTGTTCAGGGAGGCCTTGGGCAAGCGGCTGCCTGATAACAAAAGGGGATTTATCGGATACTGCTTAATTTCTAATTATCATTCTTATTACTAGAACTGAGGTACTTTAAACATTGTTTAGCTTCATAGTACTTAAAGATTATAATTGGGTTAATCATGTCTTTGTGGCTTATTGTGTTTTCCTTGGCAATGGTGCTTAATAAAACTGCAGGCTGCTTTGCGCAGGTCCCCGTTTCTGTGAGAGAAGCGGGTTATCCATCAAACACATCTAATCATTATAAAGCTATTCTGTTTTTTTCCTCTAGTCAAAACGGCTCCCAGATCTGCTTGCAAAGATAAGGAGGGTGGGCAGGCCCTGTCCTTAAAAGTTGGGATGCCATCTTACAGAAGCAGCAAACAAAGAAGAAGGAAGAAGAAGGGAGGGAAAGATGGAAAGACAGTTTTCATAATAATAAGGCCAGTCAGGTGGAATACCTCTCCTCCACCCACCCCCCCGTCACACACACACACTTGTTTGCTTGCTTAAAATGTCAGAAGCTTCTACTGCCCTGACTGGGTTTCAAGAGGCCTTGAAGGGCATGCTGAGGTACTCACGCGCCACTTTCCACTTTGAAGGAGCGGACGTTGTCAAAGCTGCACTCCATGATGTTGGGGCAGGAGGCAGTGAATTCCATCCGTTTGCCCTGGTAGTTTTCTTGGTCATAGATGGTGACCTGGAAGGGTGCAAGGCCGTCAAGTGTGGAACTCCCCTCCTACAAGGCAGTGACCATGCCGCGGAGTGTGTGTGTGCACGTGCACGTATGGTGGGTGGGTGGGGGAGCATCTGTTAAGCCTCCAGCAACTGATCTGGCTGCCTTTAAAACAGGTGTAGGAAAGATGTGGATAGTGGAGGAACACAACCCCCTCCCCACTCTAGCCAGCTGTGATGGCCCTCCAGCAACATCTGGTGTGCTCTGAGTTGCTCGCTCCTGCTTTACGGTCATCCCAATTCTGCCCACCTGGAGTGCAGGTCTGGAGTGCAGACCTCAATTCTGCCACACTATCGGTCATGCCAGGAGGCAGCACTCATGACCGATGGCGTGGGTTGAGGTCTGCCCTTCTCTCTACCCTTCCTGCTCTTCCTGTCTGGGGGCTCAGAGTCATTCAGTCCTAAAAGCAAGGTGTATTTAAAACCATGTTCACTCTGGCTCCTCCCAACCTGGTCCCCTCCAGGTGACTACAATGGCAACCATTCCCAGTTCTTATGGCCACTAAAAAGTTGGGAGCGGTTGACTCACGGTCCAGCCCATCTAGAAGGTTCTGAAAGACTGCCGTATTCTATGAAGCTTCCTAGCCATCCCTCTCCCCCACTCAAAACACACACACAAAAATCCCCTGAACTGCCAGCTATCATTTAAATGTCCTATCATACAAACCTCACATGCCAGCGCACTAGAGATATTGATTGACTACAAACCCCATCAGCCCCAGCCAGCACAGACATGAGGAGGGATGATGGGAATCATGGTGCAATCATATTTTCCAGGGGAAGAAGGAGCACATGTGGTCTGTGAGAAGTGGGATAGTGCTCCATGGCCTCTATGTTGACTTGCCTTTTCGACCCTTCAGGATCTTACCTTCCATGGTCCAAGCTGTCCTGGCTGGGGGTTGGTTTGAGCCATCTTGGCGGCAGGGATGAATTCTACAGAGGGAGAGAGAAAGAGCAAGAGAGGACGACAATCCACCACACTTCCTAAAGCCTGACCCCACCGGCGCGGCTGTGGAACCTGGCGTGGTCCTTTGGGGACACTGGTTGCCCTTTGGGGACACAGGCCTCCGCGCTACTCAGAAACCATGGGCTGACTCCTTGGAGATAAAGGAGGAGACGTGGTTTTTTTCCCTTACAGGCTTGAGATACTCTGACTTCTCCATGGCTTCCTCCACTTTTCTGACAGGTCAGATTTGTGAACCAAAAATGGCTCATCGTCCTCACACACAAAATCTTGACACTTGTTCCAGAGTATACCTCTCTGTGACTTTTTGACAGTTATAATTCCGTCAAAAAGTCACAGAGACTTCTGTTAGAATTAGGAAGATCCCAGCATAGTTAGTGCAGGTTGGAGGATTCTGGCACATTTTCCCCATCTCGTGTCTACTACACCTGAACAGACATGCGAAAGGGAAGGGCACAGTTGACTGACCAAAGCCACCGGTTAACATCCGGATCCAAACATGGATCTCTAATTCGAAATTACAAGATTGTGGAAATATCCTGGATCTCAGGTTTCAGCTCTTCTCCATCTGCAGCCCAAGGAAAAAGGAATCGTTTGCCATGCAAACATGCCAAGGCACAAATGCGAAGCTGGAGAAGTTTCTCTGGGGCTTTTCAGAATGTCGTTCAGAGATGGAGGCATGGGCTGGAGTTCTAAAGGTCCAACCCAGTTCCCGATAACAAACCCAAAGGTAGGCAGTGCATCCCCAGAAGGCTGCCTACGTTTGGTTTGTAGGCTTTTTGTTTTTGTTTTTGTTTTTTGGCAAGGAAAAGCCCACCACCTGAAAAACCACTAGGGCCATCTCACCCTTTCAGTCAAAATCTGCCCCCTTGTTACCTAAACCCACCTACTCTCAGCTTGCCCCCTCTGGGATGCCCCCCCCTCTTCTTGGTGGCTGCTCTTGCAGCAGGGCAGGGGACCCCTCCACCCTCTGGCCCTTTTCCGGCCACTGGCCTGTAATCCGGGGGGGGGGGAGGCAGGGCAACCTGTAGCCCTCCCACCCTCTTTGCTGTCTTGGGACTTCCAGTCAATTTTTTTTCCGCCCTTGTTGTGAGCTTTCTAGGGTGGCCACCCTCTGTATTTGGTAGCATGTGGATGATGATTCTGACCTACTTTGCAGGGGTGTTGTTAAAAAAAATGGAAGGTCTAAATGGGTTTCTGTGTGTGAGAGAGGAGCTCTTGGTTTACGAAGGAAACAAAATACATAAAAACAAATATTTCATTTTGGCTTACAGAAAAGGGGATGAAGCCTGAAGTAAAATCTGGTACGACCCTACCCCCCCTCCAATTGGCTGTACAAGTTTGCAATTCTCTGTCCTGGAGCGTTACTTTTAACCCCAGATCCTGTTCAATCTTTGGACGAAACGCAGCTCCTGTGCAGCCTCTAGTCCAGGGGTTGTTGGCCTTTCCTGATTCTGCCCTCACCTTAAGCTCTGCAAAGCCCATCCAAAGGAAGAGCCCTTATCAGGACCAAAAGCTTGCCGCACAGTTATATTTTTATATCTTTTTTATCCACCCCTGATTTTCCATACGGACTTTAAGTACACATGTGTACAGATGTGCGTTTATAGTCCATAGGCAAAACCAGATCCTCAAACGCTGCAAGTCCTAGCCAGATAAACCCTATCCGAGAAGAGCCGTACGACCGTAAGGTGTGCCTCTTTCTGTCCAGGGATGCTTTCCGAAGGATGTAGTCATTTGTTTAATCAAGGTAGGAACTGGGTCAGTCTACAGAATAAATCTACAACGAAAACTAAACGCAAGATCTTCTACATCACGAGGAAAAACAAACACCCTTGGAGGAATTAAAAACATTCAATGCAATAAAATCAGAGAAATATAAAGCACCCTTTTAAAAAGCAAGCAAGCAAGGAAGCAAGCAAGTCCGTGGAAGAAGGAGCCTGCCTGCCTGAGAGAGGCCAGAGAGGGAGAGCTAGTCTGTCCTTGACGCCCAGGGGGGCCAGGGGTACTCCACGCAACCCTATCTGGCAGGCCCACCCGCTGAGACCCAGGCAGCGGGGCTGAGTAAAAGGGGAACCCGTGAAGGCAGTGACATTTTGGCCATCTTCTTTCTGCACAAGCAGCTCAGCTCTCACCTCGCTCGCTGAATGCTGACAGTTCCTCCATGGGCCGCTGGCTCCCAGGACTGGCTCCCTGGGCTTATATAGTGCCCCTGTCCAGACAAGCCCTGGGCAGCGTTTGAGCTGGAGTCAGCATGATGCATTCTCTGCCATTGTGTCCCTCTTGATCCCAGGAGATTTCGGTTCCTCGCCTCTACGGTCCAAGTCACATTCTTGGCTGAGAATGAATCCAAATCGCCCCTCTCAGCCCCCCCGCCCGCTGTGGGTGGGGGTGGGCCTGCAGGCAGGAATGTGGGGTGGCTCCCCTACCGCCCGACAGTCTAGGGACGAGGGGAAAGGGAGGACTGCTTCTGCACACACACACACACACACACACACACACACACACACGCCTCCGACATACATCACCCCTGCCCTTTGCAAATCCTGGGGATGGTGGTAAAGTGTCCAGTTTGACATAGCTCAAATAGGACTGCTGGGAAACTAGTGGGATCCCCAGAAAGTCCAACCAGATGCCAAAACGGGAAGACCCCGGGGAGATGATGAGAGCCACCACACCTTCCTGGTCGTGTTCCCCAGTAACTGATCCTCAGAGACCCACTGCCACCAGGAACATTTTGACAAAACCACCCCTTCTTCCATGAACTTGCCTAAACTCCTGTTCAGGTCCGAGGGGTCTTGCCCCTTCCGGTGGGTGGGTTGGGTTGAGTGATGGAGCCTCTGACGGAGGACTTCCTCTGACCTGGAGGTGCTGAAAGGTCCTCCTTCAAACAACCGAGGGGACCTGCGGACCTTTCGCGGCTAACATGCTTTATGGCACACAAACCTGCACGGGCTGTCACCCCACGTCTTCAGAGACAGCATCTGCAGACAGATGTTTCTGCATACATGGCAGGAGGAGGGGAAGAAAAGTGAGAAAAGTCACAGGAATGTGAAGGGTTCAGTGGAGAGTCACTCTGTGGCTGGCCAGGGTAATTCACAGGCCTTTGGGGGGTGAAGTAACTGATAGGGATCTTAAGCTTTGAACCATCCACTCAAAGGTGAGGAACATAACTGGTTGGCAAACTCCTTCACCTCAGAGGATGACCACGCAGGTCAATATTAAAAGGGGAAAAAAACTTCCATCTTCTGCCCCATGACCTTGGATCACGTCTCTCTCTCTCTCTCACACACACACACACACAAACGCATTGCAACACCTGGTTCTTTTTACAGCTTCTCCTCACCCCATCCACAAAGCCCTATTCTGCCCCATCACCCTGGTGTGGCCATTTCCCTGGACTCCAAAAGGCCAGGCCAGCAGTGACCGATGCAGCCTAGCTGGTAAAGCTTCCCCCCAATGCCCCAGAGGGTGGGTTGCAATTTGTCCCTTTGAGGCCCAACTTAGCCCAGTATAGAATCCCTCCTCATAAGGAAGATGATTGTCAGGTGACTTATTGCTCGAAGTGACTACGAACACGCCAGCAACAGCAGCAGTGAGAGCACAGCAGCCATCTCTGTCGGGAGGAAGGGTGGATACCTGCCCAAATGGACCTTCAAAGTGTTCAAGGCAGAAACTGCCCTGAACATTGTAACTGTGTGTGTGTGTGGGGGGGTGGGCTTCTCCAGGTTGTGGCAGTCCTTAACTCTCTGGGCCTGGGGAATCATTCCTGTTTGTGTTCGGCTGGGGGGGAGATGGTGTGAAGGGATCTTGCTGCTTCTACAACTGCTTTCTGGGATGCAACCTCTGCTGGATGGTGGAGGGCCTGTTGGCGTAACTCTGCCCAGGGAAGTTGGGGGGAGGAAGAACAGTTCCCCTGAAATAGGGGTAGTTCGATAGGTCCACGGAGGTCCAGGCCGCACTTCCTGCTCTGCTGTTAATGGGATGGCAACGACAGGGTCGGTGGTGACGCGACCTGCCGGCTGCCGGCTCAGCACTTTCCCCGGTGGTCTGAGTGACTCTTTTGTTTTTTGCAAATGAGCAATGGGAAATTCAGCAAAGCGGCCCAACTGTTTCTGTCACCTCGGCCTGGACCCAACTGGAGTGTGTGTGTGTGTGTGTGTGTGTGCGTGCGCGCGCGCACGTGTGTGTGTGTGTGTGCGCGTGCGCGCGTGTGGTGTGCATGCGTGTGCCACTCAGGGCCGGCTCGTCTATGAGATAACGTGAGGCAATGGCCCCCAACAGCAGGCGCCAGGGCCAAGGGGCAGATCTCTGGCTGCTGCTCTCTCTTGGAGGGCAGAACGGTGCACAAGACACTTCCCACCCCGTGTCCTCTAAACCAGTGGTTCTTAACCTTTGTTACTCAGGTGTTTTTGAACTGCAGCTCCCAGAAACCCCAGCCAGCAGAGCTGATGGTGAAGGCTTCTGGGAGTTGCAGTCCAAAAAACATCTGAGTAACAAAGGTTAAGAACCAGTGCTCTAAACCATGCTCTAGTATGGTAGAGGATGCTCTCGTGTCAGCAGCCAGATTCCAGACCCTCACATAGAACCTTTCAGACAAACAGACCAACTACAGCACAATATTCTGTGGATACACAGAGCATCTCCTCAGAGGCACAGAGTGCATTTTGGGGGCTTCAGACAACATACCTCTCCTCAGCGCGTACGGTGTGGGATGGTGGGATGGCGGGCAGTGGAGTGGGAGCCCTTTATTATTATAGAAGGATTTGCATTTACGTTTACTCTCACTCCACTGCCTATATCTCACCCCCAAGCACATGGACTGTCTAAATACAAGTTAGCCATTTGACTCTCCTAGACAGAAAGGCCTGTTTAAACTGGGACTCTGCCTGGGCAAAACAGTTTTTCTTAGCTCCAATGTGTTTTGATATGTTCTTTAGTGTTCCCAGTGGCTCTGGGCTTTGTTCCATGGGGCTGGCTCCTGATTTGGTCACGCAGTTCTGCTCTTGCAGAGGGCTTAGAAAATATATATTTTGGAGGGACAATTATCATCTAGAATATATCCTAGTCTGGGTGGGGGTGATTCTGGTTTTTTTTTAATTTAAAGAAAACAGTAAAACAAAAAATATACAAACCTAAAAACATCTAGCAGCACAAAAGAATGAAAGCAATTATACAAATCATGTGCCCCCACCAACGCCTAGGACCATTTATAGATATAATCTTTTCCTCCCTCTATGGAACACCATTCCCTTTCCAAATTTGGATAGACTCTCACAAAGGTACACATCCCTTCCTATTTTATTAATACAAAAATCAGTACATTCTCCTCAAGTATCTATAAACATTTTCTTACTTATCAGCCCCTTCTCTACTCTAATGTCACATGTTGACTTGTCATAAACAGCTATATCCCCAACAATGTGTCTGTCTTCCTTTGGGTGGGACATGGGCTACTACAGTGATTATGGGATGGTGACCTGGGTGCTGAGAGGCCTGGAAAACAAGGAATGGCTGAACGAGCAGTGTGTGTTCAAGCTGGGAGTTGCGATAGCAGTTCTACATACCTGAAGAGCTGCCATGCAGAAGGTGGGGGTGGGCTGCTCTCTTGTTTTTCTCAAGGACAGAACTGGAACCACTGAGTGGAAATTTCAGGGGAAAAGGACCTCTGGCACAAGATGGGGAGGAACCTCCTGCGAGGGAAGCCGCTCTGCAGTGGGACAGCCTCGCCTTGGCGTGGCCGTGGGCTCTCTTTGGCAGGAGGCGCTGAAGCAGAACACGGGGCAGTTTGGAAAATGCTTTGGGTCACAGAAGCTCAGAAATTGGAATCAGACTCCCGAGTGGTTGTGTGGAAAGGCTCTCTCCGACTTCTACTCACCTGTCCACTTTTCCCACCCCACTTCTGGATGACCGCATGGCTGCAAGAGCTGATGGGGAAAGTGTTGGGGAAATTAAGGGGGGAGACACCGCAGAGGCTCCAGCTTTTGACTCCATCACAGGCCACAACGTCTCGTATAAATAAGATCACACAACTAGACTGTGGTGTCTGGAACACAACAACACAAAGTGTAAGGAAGACAAAAAAGAAAGAAAGAAAAAGAATCAAGGCACCCGCCATGGAGTGTCACCAGGCAATGAAATTAGCAAAAAAAATTGGCACATGAAAGACAAGCAGAGGAGCAGAAGTACATGGCAGCCTTTTGAAATCTACAAGCCTCTAGACGTTCTGGACTATAATTCCTCTACTAATGCAAACAGTGATGAGGAATGCTGGGAGATGTCCTCCGAAAATCTGGGAAGGTATCCTGCTCAGAAAGCCTGGTCCATGTGATCAGCCAAAGCAGAAGTAATCAGTAAAATGAAATTCTTCTTTATATGCACCAATCATAAGCAAAATTCTGGGGGAGAAAAGAAGAAAAACTCAGTGATTTTGGAATATCAGATCCAAAGAGACTCGATAAAAGTAAAGTGTCCAATTTAAAAACTAATGCTGTTTTTGTGCCCCCCCCCCAGTAGATTCCCCTGCCAAAACAATATGGTTTCCATAGGGTATTAAAAAAGACAAATTGCGAAAAAAGTAAAGTCTTCAGGAGTGCTAATTCACCTTTTTAAAAGGCTGCAGTCCCTCTTTCCTGCAGTGTTTAACAGAAAAAATACATTTTTTCAAAAACATAATTAAACTTCCATCCACTTTCAGTTCTGCATTCCCCCCACCCCCTTTTTTAATGTAGAGGGATTTTATTTTCTTTAGAGTTTTTGGTGGTCTCCCTTGGAGAATGTCAGGGACAGAGAATTGTACCCAGATCCTCCAAACAGATCTGTATCTCTGTCTCTGGATGTGTTTATTGCCTGGCCAAAATAAAGGCTGATGTGGCTTTTGAACCAGAGGCCGCAAGAGGGCAGAAATGCTCTTTAAATGAGTGGTTCTTACATCCAGCCGTCCATAGATCGCAAAAGGGGTCCAAGCTAAGATACAACATTTTCTTTATAATTACTGGTTAAATATTGACAACAACAAGATTGCAGTTTCCATCAACCATCATGGACGTTCTGTTCTTTATTTGTGATAATTTTGCAGGTTTTGTGTTGTTAAAACTTACTGCAAAAAACAAACAAACAAAAAACACCCTAAAACCTTCCAATAAATACAGTAACAGAATGCATCTAAGTCTTTTTAGTACACTTGTTTCTAGAGGGGCAGGGTATAAATTTAATAAATAAATTAATAAAATATTTTTTTTGTTTCTGGCAGGACCCGGATTCTTTGATGGAAGGATGGAGTCCACCTTTGGAGGAACAGTGATTTAAATAACTATTTTAAGGAGCTTCTCCTTTGTCTTAGATGAATAAAAGCAAGCACATCAGCCCCCTTACTCTTCTTCAGCATTTAGAACAAAAGAGAAACAAAAGGGTTTTGTGAGCCTCCTAAATCCTAATTGGAGTGGGAACAAAAGCGAGGATGATCCTGCTAGGACAGAAAAAAAAAACCCGATTGCAATTTTACACTAAGCATATACCTTTATTATTATTTTGTGCCCAAACAGCACAAAAGGTATACAAAAGCGCGCACAATGGTGCCAGTTTTCCAGAGAACACCCTCTTCATCGGGGAGCCTCACTAGAGTCATTTATACAAAGCGCATAAATGGTCACAATTCAACCAGCTGCTTTTGACCTTTTTAAGGCCAAAACACACACAAAACAGAGACATACAAGTTGGCAAGCGTTGCCCTGTCTGCTGGAATGCCACCCCCATCATCCCTCACTGCTGGCAAGGGTGGCTATGGCTCATGGGACTTGTAGTCTTTCAACCCCTCGAGAGGATTGTAAGTCACATTTTCTCCCCAAAATAAAGGAAATGCCAAGACAGGTTGGCTTTGCTGGTGGGCTGGGCCCAGGGGCGGTTTGGCCCTTTCCTCAGAGGCTGCTCACCTGGCTGCCACCTTTATTTAGCTTTATAAAAAAATGGCAACCTCCAGTTCTTGCCTGCTTGTGGTCCTCTTCCCTCCCTGTCCTTTGCCCTCCTGTTTGCAGGTCCTGTGTTGCTTAAAAAGAAGAAGCACCTTTGTATCATGTGAGGGGTAATCCTAATAATGATAATGAGTAAGGAAAAGAAGGCTCTTAGGCCAGGCTACCTGAAAGACTGCTTAGCGGTGGACTTCCTGTACTGACTGGTCAGCGGGGGGTGGACTAGATGACCCTTGGGTGCCCCTTCCAGCTCCCTCAGGCAAGGCTTCTTCGACACTGTTTCCTAACCCCTGAGGCCTCCTCTTGTCCAAAATCCTGCTCGAAAGCAAAAATGAAAAAAGAAAGTTGGCCAGAGGTATCCTCTTTTGCAGAGTCGCTTAGGAACGGAACCAAATCATGATATAAACATGCAATATAAAGCAGAGACATGAACACCACCACCCCCAACTTTTGCTAGTACCAACTCCAGATTGCAGAAGCGGTGCCAAATAAAATCAGAAACGTATTTAAAGGAAAGGCTAGCTAGGGCACTCGGAATATGAGTTCCAAGGAGCACTGTGGGCTTTCCTTGAGAAGAGCCGGCATGTCTATTTTATTGATTTACTTATTTACTTATTTATTAGATTTTTATCCCGCCCATCTAGACCAAAGGTCTACTCTGGGAGGTCTAGAAGAGATAAGAGGAGGTTACTTTTGGCAGGTAACATCAACAGCAGCACCTGTAAGCTTGTGTGTGTGTGTGTGTGTGTGTGGAAATACTAGAGCTTGGAAATGTTAGTTTTTGGAGTAACGTCTGGAGGGTTCTGGGATTTGTAGTCCAAAACCAGTATCATTTCTGAGCTCTGGAGAATAGGAACTAACTTTTTCCTTCAAAGAAAGATATGGGGACGTTTTCCCTGAGGACAAAATCAGTTGGGGAATCTAATAGTGCTTAAAATCTCACTACATGGTAGCAACAAGCAGTACTCTTAGCAATACAGTACGTACTAAGAGAAATCTCTGAAGATGAGAGTAATTACAACTTTTTATATATATAGGAGAAAGAGTCATGGTGTCCAATGGAGTGTATTTCAACAAGAAGCACAAAATAAAACAAAAGTAAGATGAGGTGTTGTTTCAGGCACTTCGGAGCTGTGGGGTTTATAGTACTATACTCCTAGTAACAGCAATAACAGCATGAGTCTTCTCTGAAGGTCAGAACAATGAGCTTTTTTTTAAAAAGGGAAAGTGAGTCAAAGTGTCTAATAGGGCTTGCTTTTCAATACATGGTGTCGGTTGTAGTACTGTTATTAGTAACAGTACTAATATTGATCTCTGAGGTTCACGACAATGGCAGTGTTTTCTGACAGGAAAGTGAGTTGGGTCATTTCATGGTACTCCTGAGGTCTATGGTGGCAGCAGTAGCGGCAGCATTAATTACTCCCAGCAGTAGTGGTAAGAGTAACCGTCTCTGAAGGTCCGAGTACTCCCATATTTTCAGAAGGGAGTGAGTGAAGGCGTGACTTCAGAGAGTACAGTACCTGGTGACTGGGGTGGACGGTACCTCTTACTAGAAGTGGCAACACAGTAATAATAACCCTTTGAAGGTCAGAACAGTACCAAAATATTTTCTGAGGGAAAAGCAACTCAGGGCTTCTACTAGGGCTCGCTTCCAAGTATGTACTGGCGACGATAACAGTACAGTATTACTGAATAACAACAGTACTCTTTGAGGGCCAGAACAACAACTTGCTTCCTGAGGGGAAAGCCAGTCAGAGCATCTATGTGGTGGTAATAGTATTAATACTACCAGGCCCATGGCTTATCTCTGAAGGTTGCCCAACGACTCATCTTTTCTGAGGGGAAAAATGAGTCAGGGATTTTACTAGCCCGAGCTTCCAAGTGGCGTATGGACCAGCAGCCCCGCAACAGTTTTAGTTATGATGATCCTTATTGGAAAATCAGAATAATGCGTTTTCTGAGGGGAAAACCAGTCAGGGCCTGTATTAGGACCCACGGCCAAGTCTGTGGTGGTCAAGCTAGGGCGGCCATAACCACGACTAATCTCTGAAGGCGGCACCACCAACACCACCACCACGTTTTCTGAGGGAAAAGTAAGCCGGGGCTTACAGTTTTAGTTATGATGATCCTTATTGGAAAATCAGAATAATGCGTTTTCTGAGGGGAAAACCAGTCAGGGCCTGTATTAGGACCCACGGCCAAGTCTGTGGTGGTCAAGCTAGGGCGGCCATAACCACGACTAATCTCTGAAGGCGGCACCACCAACACCACCACAACGTTTTCTGAGGGAAAAGTAAGCTGGGGCTTTTATTACAGCGGAACTCCCAACTGGGTGGCGATGGTAGTAATATTACTCCCCCTAATTACTCTGTGGAGGGGCGGCAGGGAGGAGGAGTAAGAAGACCCCCCCCCCGCGCGCTCAGCCTCTCCGACGGACTCCCCCCCTCAGGAGCCGCTCCCGCCAAAAAAACCTCCCTCCTCGTCCCCTGAGGAGGAGAGGCCGGCGGAGAGGGCGCCCCTCTCTGGATTCTGGGATTTGTAGTCCCTCCCTCTTAAAAAAAAAAAGGAGAACCAGCGAGAGCGACGTTGGCCCAGAGTCGAGGCCAACTCTTTTGACTCCTGAAGGGATGGAAGAGATTCGTGTCCGGCACTAAGGGCGGCGCCCCCTCCCCTCCACAGGTCATTTCGTATCGTGAGAAGCGCGGCCCTGTGAGAGACGCGTGTTTGTTTGTTTTTTTTGGGAGGGGTTCGGGGGTTCGTCTTTTCCCTCACGGTTCGTTTCCGTGAGGGGAGTTGGAGGGGTGGAGAGCCTGGGACGGCCGCCCCTTTACACTACACGCTGGGAGGCCCATGGGCAGAAGGAAGGAGGGAGGGAAAGAGGGAGGGAAGAGAGGCCCGGCCTCCTCCCCTCCGCCGCGGCCTCGGCCCGAGCGAGGCTCCGCTTTCCCCGCCCTGTTGCCCGCCTCCGGGCCCGCCTCCCTCCCTCGCCCGCTTCCCTCGCCCGATGCCGGCCCGGGAGCGGCCGAAGAGGCGCAGGAGCCGCGGCGGCCCCGGAGGGAGCAAGGCCGGGCCTCCCCGGAGCCCAAAGTGAGGAGAAGAAGCGAAGGGAACGAGGGAGGGAAGGAGGGAGGGAGGCAGGCGGGAAAGGAAAGGCCGAGGGCGAGAGCCCGTCGCCACCGCCATCCTCCTCCTCCTCCTCGGGAGCCGGGCCCGAGGAAGAGGAGGAAGAAGGCCTTTGGGGGTAACGGGGAGGGAGGGAAGGTGGGAGGCTGGGCCAGGGGTGAGGGGAGGAGAGGCGGAAGCCCCAGTTTGTGTGTGTGTGTGTGTGTGTGTGTGTGTGTGTGTGTGTTGTGGGGGTGTATCGTCTGAACGCAGCCCCGTGTCAGCAGGGCGTGTCACGAGGACGTGCCCGCGGGGAAAGAGGGATGGGGTGTGTGTGCAATTTTGGGGGGTTTTTTTGGAGGGGAAGGTGGGAGGACGCGTGTCCCTTTGCTCCTGTTTTCTGTCATTCACACGTACGCGGAGGCGGAGGCCTCTTGTTTGTGGGTGGCAGACCTCGCGTGTCTTTCTTTCATCTTTTTTTTTTACACGGGTTCCGCTCTCCCTCCGTCCCGGTCGGGCTTTTGCACGGGTGCAGAAGCGGGGTGTGTGTGTCCGTGTCCCAGGTCGTGTGCACACAACATTCGGTGTTGGGTTGGGCAAAAGAGGCGGGAGGGCGAGGTGGGAAGGCTGGTGTGAAAAGGGCCAAATCTTTGATTCTCCTGATGCAGGATGCCTTTATTTATTATTGATTTAATAATGCATCCTCTCTTGAAAACAGGCCAGGTTGTGAGGGAGAGGGGAGGAAGATGCCAGGTGGATCCTGAGGTGCTTTTGTGCAAAAGGGAGGATTGGGGTGTGAGCCAGGGTGAGAGAGGGCAGGGAGGCTGGCACTGCCTTCCTTGCACATGGGATGCACGCATGCATGCTGAGCCCAGACCACCTGCATGTCTGTCTTCCCAGACAGGTACAGTACTTCCTGGGTGTGAGCAAAAAGGGAGATTTTGGATGCAGAGGACTTACTGTGTGGCACAATGCAGGGGGAGGGAGGCATGATAAGTACATCCTGTGTGCATGTTCAGAGCCCCTCAGCACGTATGTGTGTGCAAGTGTGCCCTTAGTGCAATAGCAGGTCCTCAAACCCACATGCCTACCCGCCTGCAGGAATGCAGTACAGTACACTTCAGTATGTTTTGTGGGAAGGTCCTGTGTTTAAGGTTGCATTAGTCTCTGCTGTGATGGATGGGGTGTGTGGGGGACCAAGGTTCGTTTCATTCAGGGAGTCATTCATTAAACATCTCTTTCATGTGCTTTTGCTCCAATTTCGTCCCCAGTCTCTCTAGAGCAGACTCGGCTATGTTGGGCGCCTCAAGAGGTGTATTTATACATGTTGTCCCCCAGGTGGCGTCCTCTGGACATTTTGGATCACAACTCCCATCATTCCCAGCCGGCTGGTTGAGAACAGAAGCATTGTCCAGTATATTTGTAGAGCACCAGGGTAGAGGAAACTGTTGCATACAGAGATGGAACCTTGTGCTGGATGTTCTCTTTTTCATTCTTTAAATATTCATCTATCTGAAGGGTGTGGCTGAGTAGCAAGTCCTGGGATGAAAGGTGTGTTCTTGTGTGTAAATATGTTCAGCAAAGGACTTGGTTCACCCTTTCTGCTGTGTGTGTCCATGGGTCAGCTACACCCAGAAGCTGAGGGGTGATTTCTGTGTAAGTCTGGCATGCTTGTACTCTTTATGTGATGATCGGCATAATATAGGTTTTGGAAGGGTGTGGCAGGTATGTGTAGCTATTTGTTGAGACAATATGGGAGAAATAGTGCTTACTTTATGTACAAATTATTTTAAATTGTTTTTATCTTCTATGTTGTGAGCCGCCCAGAGTAGACTATGCCTAGATGGGCGGCATATAAATGCAATAAATAAATAAAATAAATAAATACAAATGGTAAGGAATAAAGTATATTTCTCTTCCTCCTGCCTTGCTCCACCCTAGGGTGGTTTGGCATTATGGTAATTTTCAGGATTGTATTTCTTTTTCCTGATCTGGCATCTATTCTTTTAACGCTACATGCCAAGGAGCAATGGAAACGCCCAAACCCTTTTTTTTATAGGCAGATGGCAGCAAGAAGGAACAACTTCACCTGTTGAATGCACAGCCTGGAATTGTGCTTTTTCCTGGGGATTCTGTGCCTCCTATAAAAACCAGCCTGGTGGACCATGTTCTGCTGCTACCTCTTAATCTGCTGTTTGTTGGCCCTTTGCTACCTAGTTTTTGTTTCAGGGAATTAGTAGCTGGCTGGTACTTGGCAAGCACTTGGCATTTTGTGGGCACAATGATTATGCTCTGAGTGGTGTTTTGGTGAGTGGGGTGGGAGAAGAAGATTGTAAACCTACAATTGAAGAGAAATCAAAGTAGTAGAGTGTCTTTCCTCAGCGTCTTGGACCTTTCAGCTCTCCTTCTGCTGTAGTTTGCCTGTATTCAGGAGTGGGTGTATTAAATGGCTTTTCCTATGCATTTCCAGCATCTTAAACATTACTCTTAGAGGCATAAGTGATACCTTTGCAAATACTGGGCTGTGTGATGCTAGTTATTTTGTTTTGTTTTGATTTCTGTTTTACTGGTGGACATTGTCAACATCTTAAGAGCCGCTTGGTATGTTATACTTCCAAATTGTGAATGCTGAAAATGTAATTTATCAGGAAAAGCAGGAGTGTGCCTTTTTTCAGTGGGACACACAGGCAGAGGGTCAGTGTCCATGAAACAGACGGGGCTTCATTGGTTGCGTTTCCTGCTGAGTGCACCCACCTTTCAGCAGGTTCTTGTCCATGAAATATAAAGTGGCACCACCCTCATGCTTTTTGTTTGGCTGAGACTTAGAAACACTTTGATGATGAATGCCTCTTGTGGCAGCCACGAACTCTGTAACATTCACTTCATTTTTGTGGATCCATCCTTCGAAATATGAGAAGTCTGTGGGAAAAGCTGTAATGTGGGAGGAACTATTTATAAAGCATCTTGGAGCCATATATGACATTAGATGCTTGCTTGCCTTCTGTTACAGAGAATTCACACAAGCAAAGAGGACTGGATGTTATGTTATCCTCTAATAATAATTTGGGAAGGTGTGTTTTCCCTTCTCTGCTATTTGTATAAGATTTGCAAAAAGGTGTGTATAGGGTAGCACAGGAAAGCTTCAATTCAGCAAAAACAGGTATGGTCAGATTCATTTATCTGGTTTTGTCATAGGAGGGTATGAGGTAGCTTCCCTTCATAAAATATAAAACCTCTCAGTTTTAAAAGGATTAGATAGCAGGCGGTACAAGAATCCTTTCTCTGCCTGCCACCCTGGAGAGCTGCTGGAGAGCTCAGGGGTTTAGGTCTCTGGCTGCAGAGTCAGAGGTTGCCAATTCCCGACTGGGTCTGGACTTGATGATCCATAGGGTCCCTTCCAGTTCTGCAGTTCTAAGAGGATGAGGATGAGGATGATGGATAGCTCAGGGGTGTTAGGTCTCTAGCTGCAGAGACAAAGGTTGGAGTTTGATTCCCCACTGGGCCATCTTGACGGGCTGGACATGATGATCCATAGGGTCCCTTCCAGCATTGCAGTTCTAAGATGCTGAGGTGGATGATGACTAGGGAAGACAGTTGTATACTGATCTGTGGTATAAGGCAGTATTTTAGGTTACCTGTGGCTTCTGTACCACTTTTTACTAGCAGCTGCTCCAGTCTCGAATTGCGTTGTTTAGCTGAATAATTATATTTCTGGTGGGAGGCAGAGAAGCTATATGAAGGAGAACATGCAGCATCCTTCTTTAATGCAGAGATAGCAGTATGGAGCAGAGTTTGTATTTCTGCTCTTCCTTTCTGTGTCAGACTCCTCTGTTCTCACGAACACGATGGCTGCTAATGAGCATTGATGGCTGTTAAAAGTATGACAATGAAACAGAAGTAACTGTGTGAAGGAGGTCTCGCTTTGGCTGTCTAATGAGTCATCTCATCTGCGAAACAGCATCTGCCCCTTCCCAAATGAAATTCCACCCATTTATGGAAGGGTGCCCTTGCCAGTCAGCAAACCCTCACGTATGAAATTGCGTCAGGCTCATTCTAGAAGGCTTCACGAACACCCACAAATTGTGCTCAGGGAGCAGGTAGAGTTGACAGGCTGACCAGCTGCCTTCTGTTCTGTCACAAGACACAGGTGTGCCTTTGCTGACGTGGTCCGGTTACTATATCATTACCACTGTTTCTCCCGTCTGCTCCTCCTCCTTAAGCCTTGACCTCCGAAGCGCTGTGATTTAGTCCGTGTCAGGTGGGAAGTAAGCAGGTTCTTCCTATCTTTCCTCGTCTGTTTGCTTCTGCTGGACGGGCCTCCCTTTCTTGCTCCTGCTGAGTCATAACATACTTGGTGTGTTTGTTCATCAGGTGGGCAGGGGCGTGACCCAGGTCCTTGAATGAAGGAAAGCCAGTTCTGGGCGCTCGCTGTGAGGTGGTGAAAGTGGCTCTTGCAACCTGCCCTTGCCATTTCTTTCCCTCCTCCCCTGCAGCTTCTCTTTTGGGTGGCTTCAGCAAAGCAGGAAGGCAGTGCCCTTGCTGAACCAGTACAGGTATTGCAGGCTAAGCTCAGGGAGAGTAGCAGCCAGTCAGGGTGCAGCCTTGTCTGGGCCTCCTCGGAGAGGGTGGCGCCCCGGTGTGCAAACTGTCTGTCAGTCCCCCAGAATTGTTCCCCTGGCTCAGAGAGTGGAGGACGTTTCCCCCCCTCTCTGAGTGGGTTGCCTTTGCTTTTTTTATCCTCTGTAGCCAGGGGTTTATTGGGAACATGGTATCAAATCCCATCCCAGTTTGGTTGGTGAGGCCTTTTATGGGAACCAAGGCTTAAGATGGTGGATGAAATCTGGATTAGAATTTCATAGCTTTAGGATTCTCTCTGAACCTCTCCTAATTACACACTGTTCTCATGAGGCGGCACCTGACCTTGCTCTGGTTCTGGGCAAGACAGGGTGCTTGTCCGTGTCAACATGTATGCATGCCAGTTGCTCTGTGTGCTTTACTGAGGGGGCTCCATGTGCTGGAAGGAGGCCTTGAACTGTTACGTTGCTGAACAAAGAATCTGGGGGGGGGAGAAGAAGAACTCGTAAGTAAAACCCACAGTAAACATTAATGCAGTCCTGCTGGGTTAGCTCAAAGGTCTGTGGCCCCCAGCTAAAGAGAGACAATATTCATCCATGATCACAACAGCTATCTTGCGCAACCCCCCCCCCCATTTTTTTACTTCTATCTCTGTTGCTTAGGGGTAGACTGCTGCAGAACATGGCTGTTTCATTTATCCATAAGCCTGTGCTGAAGGAAGTCTGGGCCATCTAATTGTGCAAGCAGCTCCACACTTTGTGTTAGTGATCTACCAGAACTTGGTGAATTTATTGAATGTACATCTGTACCATCAGCTATTAGCCTTGACAGTTATGGAACCTCCATATCTAGGGGCAGTGTATCTCTCAGTACCAGATGCTGGTAACAGATGGCAGGGGAGGTTGTTACCCTTTACCATGGCCTGCCTATAATCTCTCAAGAGAGACCTGCTAAATTTGCTCTGACTGGATTTTTTTTTTTGAAGTAGAAGGAAGGAGCCTTTCCTTTGTCCTGGAAGCCTTCAGATTCAACCTGACATCTGTGTTGCACCTAGCAAGCTAATCTAATTAAGTCTGCCTAACACCTCTTGTACTACATTTTAAGCCTGTTTGGGAAGTATGGACTTAAGGACTGGATTCCCCTACTTTTTGCTCCGAATGGGAATTCTAGAGAACCTGAAGCCATGGGCACAATCAGTTATGCTTTCAGTTGGCCATAATCAAGTCGTACGGATTATTCCTGACATTTTGGGGGTTCTTCAAGGCATGTATGCAGGCATTAACCTTAAAGATAAATTAGATTACAAGCAATTCATGTTTGATTTATAATGATATCATCACTGAGAGGAAAAGACCAAGATCTTGGTCCCTCATGAAACTGATAGGATGTGTAAAGTGAGTTAGTAACTCAGTTGGAGGGCTGGGGGGGGGTGTAGCTGGAACTAAAGTGAGCTGCCAACTTATGCTAGGGTGTGTATGTGTGGAGCAGATGTGGCTCCTTTGTCTGTCCTGGACCTCCAGCTACCTTCTGCCTTGACTGGCGGGAGGCTGATGGTGGACAGAGTTCAGAAACAGCCAGTGTGTTGTTGTGTAGCAGTTAAGAGAGTTCTGCCCCACTCTGGCCCAGAAAACACACTGGGTGACCTTGAACCACTCATTCTCACTCAGCCTGACCTGCCTCACAGGGTTGTGGATTGTGAGGATAAAGTTGGAGGTGAAGGAGAGACATAGAGAGGGGAGAGACACACAATTGAAAGGCAGGATGTAGCTAAGAAACAAACAAACAAATAACAGGTGGAAAGCTAGAGGTTCATCACCTTTGGTTTAAACAAAGGGCCCTAGTCGCAGTTCTCAGGCTGCCCACCCTGTTGTCGAGGGTCTCTGGGTTTCTAGGTGCAAATGGTTTCAAGGCAGAATCTTAACAGGATTGCTGGATGTTGGTCCTGCCTGCTTCCCCCCCCCCCGCCTCCTAGCACACGAGGTTCTCAGTTCTTACTGTTGCAAAAATACAAGCATTTGACAGAGCCTCTGTTTCTCTTATCATGGGATGTGCCTCCTCATCTGCCCCAACAAATCTGCTTATGGTACAACTAAAACAACAAACAAGCAGACTCTTCCTGACCTGGCCTACACTTCCGTAGCTCCAGTAGCTCTGATCCCCCTCCCTTCAGCACGGCAAGCCAAGGCACTCCCAGGCGCAAAAGAGAGGGAGAGTTTTTTCTAGCTAACAAACCCAGGAGGAGTAAGGTTTCCCCTGTGTTCTCAGAGGAGCTTCTGTTTTTCCAACAAGCCCCGTTGTCAGCAAGCAAGAGGTAGAGTTCTACGAATAGCTCGCTTTGAGGAAGGCCCTTTGACTTGAAAGTTTGCCATGTTTGTAAATTTATGTGCCTTCAAGTCCCAACTGACTTTTAGTGACCCTCAGAGGGCTTTCAAGGTAAGTGAGATATTTAAGGAGTGGTTTTACCAGTTCCAATCCCCCCCCCCCCAGTGAGTTTCCATGGCTGAACGGGGATTTGAACCCAAGTCTCCTAAATCCTAGTCTGTTACTGTATTCACTACACTAGGGTATCCTGGGTATCCTGTAAATTTATAGTGATATATCTTTCAGTTTGTCTGTTAAAAAAAAAGTCAGTGTTACAAATACCCACCAACCTGGTTCCCTGTGGTAAGTTTAAAAAAAGAAGAAGCCTCCAAGTGACTAGGCAGAAGACCTTTGCTGTTAACATTAAAATACATTAGGTTTTTCTTTTTTTTCTTCTGATGTCACGAATGGCTGATATGGTTGTGTGCGGGCAAGTGTGCTGTACATACACGTATGTGTGTGAGAGTAGCTTTGTGGGCTTGTTTTCAGTGCTCCAGATTTGCTCAAAATTATCTGTCTCTTTGTGTGCTTGCCTTTTGATTGCAGGGAGGCAGACGAGATCGAGAGCTTGGCACTGCTGTTGGCCCAAAGCTAGCCACTGTTGATCCTGAGTGTCCTCCCCACCTCCCCAGGACTGTCTTCCACCATGTTCCACTTGATGAAAAAGGACAGAGATGGCTCCAGAAGGGAGAAGAAAGAGAAAAAGGAGAAAAAAGAGCGAATGTCAGCTGCTGAGCTGAAAAGTCTGGAGGAGATGAGCCTGCGCCGGGGTTTTTTCAACCTCAACCGGTCTTCCAAGAAGGACTCAAAGAGCCGCTTGGAGATCTCCAACCCCATCCCCATTAAGGTGGCCAGCGGCTCTGACCTCCACCTGACCGATATCGACTCAGACAGCAACCGGGGGAGCATGATCCTGGATTCCGGGCACCTCAGCACAGCCAGCTCCAGCGATGACCTCAAGGTGGACGATACCAACTTCAAAGGGTCTGTCCTTCAGCGGGCAGCGAAGTTTGGCTCGCTGGCCAAACAGAACTCCCAGATGATTGTTAAGAGGTTTTCCTTCTCGCAGAAAAGCCGGGATGAAAGTACCTCGGAGACCTCCACGCCCTCTGAGCACTCGGCTGCCCCATCCCCGCAGGTGGAAACCCGGACGCTGGAAATACAGCTAACTAGGCAAGGTGTGATGCCCGGAGCCCCCTTGTCCTCACGAATCAGACTTCCTGAGGTGGTTAGCAAGAGGTTCCCTGCGGACCTGAAGCTCCCTATGGTGGTGCCCCCTCAGCCTCCCGTCCCCAGGCAGCTGGAACTGCAGCGGCGCAATACAGGCGACTTCGGCTTTTCCCTGCGCCGCACCACCATGCTGGACAGGGGTGCCGATGGGCAGGTGTACAGGCGGGTGGTACATTTTGCTGAGCCTGGCGCTGGGACCAAAGACTTGGCTCTTGGCTTGGTGCCGGGCGACCGCTTGGTGGAGATCAACGGGCGCAATGTGGAAAATAAATCTCGGGATGAGATTGTAGAGATGATCCGGCAATCGGGGGACACGGTGCGCCTCAAAGTGCAGCCCATCTTGGAGCTGAGCGAGCTGAGCCGCTGCTGGTTGAGGAGTGGAGACGGCCTTCATCAAGCAGCCTTTGACGTAAGTCCTTCCTCAGCTTGGGAATGTCAGTGGTTGGTTGGGTGGGTGAAGGAACCTTTCCTTATAGGCATCTATTTCAGCCACCAGATCTGAAAGCTTCTGGCGTTCTGGATGCTGAAGGCAACTGGAGCTGTTCTGAAAGGGTGTCAAGAGTCTGGGATGATCCAGCCATCCCGCCTAGAGTGATCTTTTAGACGAGATGGGTGGGGTATAAATCAAATAAATAAATAAATAAATTCAGAATTTGGGAAAGTGACTCTTTGTAGTCTGGTTCCCATAATCCCCCAGTCCTCATGGTCCTTGGTAGGTTTGATTCTTGGATCTCTTTTCCAAGCTCTGATCATGGTCCGGGTCAGCTTTGGAGGTCAATCCCATCTTGTTTATTATGCACGGATGAAGAAAGGGCAGCGAGAGCTTTTAAGTGCTGCAGGTCTGCAGAGAAACAGTCATTCCCCCCCCCCCCACTGTGGTTGAGCCATGTGCAGGATGGATTCAGGACTGAATTGAGAGATGATTATGAAAGGAAGAACAACTTCATCAGGCATTAGAAAAGATAGGGCCAGAAGTGAAAGAGGTCCTTGCATAACTGGTTCTTTCTTACATTCCTAAAAATGCTGCATTTGTTCCTGGAAACTTCATTTTGGATTTGAAATGGGTATTAAAACTATATTTCAGCTTTGAATACATTGCTGATGATTTTAAAAGACCAGCGTTGTGAGAACTTAAATCTCAAAGTGACTTGTCTACAAGCAGCAGGTAGCTAAAATTGTCAGTTTTGTTCTTTGATATTTCTAGTTGGTGGAGAGAGCTGTGAGGAAGACAAAGAAAAATCTCTCTGTGTATGGGCTGTGGGTTTGGACAGGAAATGCTGGGGTGAAAATTAGCCCTGAAGGAACTCTTCTGAAATCCCAGCACTCAGATCCATCTTATTTGGCCTGGGTTAGCAAGTGAGTTTTGAGAAAAAGGAATAGGAGCAAGCTCTTGATGCTTGGAGCACTCCACATCTGCTCTGTCGTTGCGACTGGTAAAAAAAAAGCTTAGTGTTCAGTTCAAACAGGTTTGCATATAATAGTTCTTAAAGCCCCTGTTTTATTCACAAGAGTGGCTGATTGCACATGGACTAATCTGTGGCTCCTGAAGTACGCCTGAAGCCAGGGACATCCTTGCAAGTGGTGGTGCATTGTTTACATTGTTGTTTTATATATCTTCTCCGCAGCCCAAATAGTTTAAAGAACATTGGTTTTGCCAAACATTTCTTTTCCCCTTCCAGGGAACTGTTTTGGGAAGAAGGGAGACTGGAACTTAATTCTGTTCAAAACAGATGAAATTTTTATGTCTCAAATTGATCAGGACTTCTAATGCTGGGGCTAGAGACCAAGTTGTAGGGTGACAGTTTTCATGAGACTGTGGTGCTTGTACATTCTCTGTCACCCTTAACTTGTTTGCCTTTTTGCTGGGGTGGGGGCTGGGTGGGCTTGAAGAATGTGATGCTGTACCTTCATTTTCATTTGGAATTTCTATTCTGTAGAGCATGTAATGCATGGTTAGTACCAGACGGGTTAAGCAATGTACAGTTCGTATACTCTCCCTTTTGTTCAGACCAGACTCTGCTTTTTCCCCCCTTGTGAAAGTGTTCTTCAGGGTAGAGATTTTTCTGCCTGAGCCTGTCTGTTCCCAGGGCATTAGGTTCTGTCTTCCTGCTATAGGTTTCAGTTATCCTTTCCAAAATGGAAAGCAGCGGTCTGGCCATACCTAGATTGTTGATCCTTCCTGTGAAATGATGTGCCTGAAAGGAGCTTTATCCCACAATCATATGGCTGGGGCAAGCCATAAAGACTTTAAGAGTACCTGCAAAGAGGTATAAAAGTAGCAGCATAATAGGCAGGTGACCCATATTCTCCTGGCTGGCACAGCACCTTCTATTAGCGATAATTGGAGCGTGCTTGAGTGCGTGTTTCGTACCATTGGGATCATTTTAAATCTCGTCAACATTCTCAGAGATTCCTGGGAAAGTTGCCTCTACCTCGTGGCATGGAGAAAGCCTCCACCCAGCTACCTCTAGCACGGGAATGAATGTGCCCTGTTTTTAAGTGGAAAGGAAACACACGTGTTTACAGCTCTTGAGTCAAGCATGCAGACAGGGCTGTTAAAAATCAGATGCCAGCTAAACTGACAGCAGGACTTGTGGTGCAGGTGTTGTGGAAGGAAGCAGTATGGAAGTGTGAGGCGCAAGTGGAAACTGGCAGAACCTTAGATGGTTTCTTAAGTGGAGAGGAAGGCTTCCTTGAAATTGCTGAGAGTAGATGCCAAATGCGCCAGGAACATAGCTACAGCCAGGGCAGCAGGCATAGTATGGGTAGCTAGCCTTCAGGTGTCCTGTTCTCCTACTTTGGCGGGTTCTGGGTGGTCCTTTCAGTCTGCCCTGCGCTAGGACTTTGTGTGTGTGTGTGTGTGTCTGCACGAGTGTGGGTTTTCAGCATGGAATTTAGCATCCTGTGAATGTCTTGGCTTTTTTTTAATCCTCAGTGGAAATTCCTGAAATGCCACTTCTGCCTTTTTGCTCACAGGAAACTGTCAAGCTTTATGGCCTGTGGAAGTGTTCTCTAAGATGTTTCCTGGGAGTATACTGTTTATTTATCAGATTTATATCCTGATTTCCTCCCCATACTGAGATTCAAGGCAGCTCCCAGAAAGATTAAAAGTGGGCACAAATAAGAACAACAGGAGCAACAAAATCGTTGAAACACTTTTAAATGTGATTCAAGATCTCTAGACTTGCAGGCTGTCACCTCGTTTCAAGCTGGATCCATCAGTGTGTTGTTATCTATTTCTCAGTTACCCTGTGAAAGGAGTTAAAAGATAATTAGGGTTCTAAATGGAGTAGTTTGAGAACCCTAGGCCCAAATTTCCATCTCTTTCCCTTTCATGAAATGTAGATGTCAGTGTCACCCAGACTGGCATTCAAGCCCCTGAGAGAGCATTGAAGGCACCTGGTGGGGGTGGGGTAGGGGGTGGGGAGTGGGCCAAGGCACATGTGAAAGCAAACCTTGGGAGGGTCAGTGCAAAATTCAAAACACAACTGTAGATTTTTGGAAAAGGAGTTTGGTTTGTGTTTGTAGCAACTTCTCCCCATCTTGCTGGGGTGGTTTTGTTAGCTTCCTACCATTCTCTGGTGGAGCACCTCTGACTACAGGAGCTTTCAAAGCGGTGGCTGCTCCTCCGAAGTTACAGACAGCCACTTTCCTGTTCCTCTGTGGTGAGCGGAAATGACTTCCAAGCAGCCACACCAGAAAACGTCCCTAAAGGGTCTATCTTTCCAGCTCTGCCTACAGGCAGGCAGGAGATGAATTAAAAAGAAGTAGACATTCATATGTGGATCAGTGGCTTTTGCAGATTTATTTGTAGGGCAGCTTAAATCTCTTCTTTAGCAGGAGGTTTACAAGCCTTTCCTCAAACACCTTGCTTTTCCCGCCCAATGAAACCCGTGCACTTTTTTTTAAAATAAGCTTTGTGTTCCCACTTACCATGGCTAGATTTTTTACCCATTATGTAAGCCTTGTGCTTTTGCTGTGCTGTAAGGGCATACTAGTCTGTCAAGAGCTTATTAAACTAAATGGTTTGTGTGAATGTGTCCTTTTCAGACAAGCAGTGGCTCTGATTCCCATGGGCTCCTTACTTATCCTGTCTTCAGAGAAAAACAGCTGCTAGCCCCCTGCTTTTTTTTTTTCATGGTTTCCACACACTCATTCTTCTTTCCTTCTCCCTGGCCTTTCCCTACAAGCTGTCATCTGCTCTATGCTTCAGAGCTTCCATCACAAGAAAAGTATATTCCTGAGTTTGTCAAACAGGAAAATTCCACCAGTCACCCCCCACCCCCCCAGGCAGGAAGAGCTGAGACCTCCCAGCTGTATTTGTTTGCTAATACCCAGGTTTGCAGAAGCAGCTCAAGACATTATAATCTAATCTTTATGATCTTCTGTAGAACATTTGAAGCTGGGCCCCTGTTATAAGTATGCAGCTTCTGGGCAGTTCAGAAGGCTTGCAAAATTGCTCTAAGATGGTTCAGTGTGCTCCTTCCTTAAACAGAGTCTTAAGGGATTGTTTTCCTTTTAATTGTTTTTTAATGTGTAACTTTTGCAACCCAACAAGCTATACATTTAAGAGGTCAGTGGGCAAACACTTAAGATATACACATCTGATTTTACTAAGCTTCTCTTGGCCATCCCAGTTGTTGCTCCAAGGCTGGGGTGAAATTTCCTTTCTGCTCCTTTCTTTTTTCTTTCCTTTTCCATGCCATTCCATGCCACAGGCTATGTGGGTTAGGCATGATGCATTTTTCATCTAGTGTTTGGAGGGCTGCACTAGGATTCCAGGTTCAAAGCACTCAGTGAAATGCAAAAGTAATCCTTGACTCAGTTGCTCTTGTCTCCCCCGACCTACCTCACTGGGTTATTGTGCGAACCAAGTGGAATTGAGGAGAAGCACGCCTATCCTCCCAACAAAGCACCTGGCCCTGGCCATCATGGGAGAAAAGGCAGGACAGATCTCTAACTAGCTAGTGCACAAATAAGTGATGGGAAACATGATCCATATTTGGGGAACAGTGTGTTGAGGATGGCTGATGTGAGGAATGCAATAGATCTTCTACATGATTGCTTTGGTTTGGGTAGAATATCGGCCAGCTCGGTTACAGGACGTAGGCTGCATGGGAGCTGCTGCTAAGGTCGATGTACAGACTGAACAAACTGCCTTTGGGACAAGAGGGTAGGGGTGAGGCTTCGCTGGCTTGCTTGAGTCATCGGGAGAGAGTTATCCTGCCAAGCATCTTTTTACCATGTTGGGCTAATGAGCCACTACCTGCTCTTTGCCCTCTTTAAGCGGGATTTGTGATGTTGCAACTCTACTGTTGGATTATCACAATAGGGTGTACACATAGCTGACCTTGAAGACTGTTCCAAAGCTCCAAATGGTGCAGAACCCAGCAGCCCACTTTGGGGTAT